GTTGTAATGAATGGGCCTCCAGCAGTGCGTCCAAAGTTGGTTCCTCCATGGTACTTTCATTCATTACAAACAAACAAAGTGGATTTAGTTTTATGTCAGGCATTCCGAGTCCTAAAAGCAGCGGATTGAGTTATGCAAGCCAACCAACCATATAGTAGTTGAAAAGTGAGCCACCCTTTTGTATGAATCGAGCCACTGCAAATGCCAAATCTTCGACAGGTCGATGATAAACAGGACCGCCAAACTCTGTAAACCTTTCATTACAGGGTACGTTGTTAAGATGGAAGGATTAGAATAGTAATTCCATTGGTATATCAGATATGTACCAGCCAGTCCAAGCCTCTGTCCATAATGTAGGCTTGTAAGGCTTATTAGGCGAGAAGTAATCACAATAAAAACCATTGCACGAATTTATCTGTCACCGAAAAATGAATATATACTCAGAAATTTCCAACAAGGTTTAAAGACAAATTTCTGCGCCAGTAAACAAAAAAGAGATGGCTTACCACAGGATCAGGAGCATCATCTTGCTTGCACATCACCCAAGGCACGCCTGTATTCAGTCCAACAGCCATCTTTGCCGCCCAATTAGTGTATGCATGACCAGCAGCTCCCAGGGCTCTACCTTGCGGCCCATACTCGTTTTCAATCTAAGAAAACAAAATTCAAATGAAAATTTTAGTAAGTTCTTTTCTCAAACAACGTTATCCCACAAGTTCACACTCACTTATAAACAATATCCATATCATTGATTATAATCTCCCAAGCTTCTCAACCTTACCTGGGAAAGGATAATGGGGCCACCTTGGGAAGCAAATAGCTTTTCATTCTTCATCATTTGTACAATTTTCTGGGTGAACCCTTGCATTGCCATCTGGAGAGCAAGAAAGCAGAAAAACTACTCACTGTAAACTTCCTTAGCTGCTAGTGAAAGTCCCAAGTAATTTCTATTAACAGAGTTCTAAGAAGTGGAGAAAAATTAACCTTGAAAGGCTTATTATCAGTTCTAAAGCTGATTCCAGGGACAAATTTTAACCATACGGGAAATCCACTGTACAATAAAATACGGAATGAAAATAGTCAAGTGTAATCAATAATGAACACTATGTCAGAGTCTCATTTACCGCGAAGAGAAATAGCAGAGAGAAAGAAAATAAGACTGCTTCTGATTTCAATCATTTACTCCAAAAAATGACGATTAACGAGTAAGGGGGAAAGTTTTGGGTACCCAAAATTCCACTCTGCACAAACATAAGGTCCAATGCGAAGATGAACATAAAGACCCACTCTCTGCACTGTCTTTATGAACCGTACCAGATCGTATCTCCCCTCAAAATCATACTGAGACAAGTGAAAGCGAACAAATTAAGCTCAAATCATACCAAAATTTCAATTCATAAATGATTTCTAAGATAGTACATTGCCAGGAGAAGGTTCGTGAACATTCCAGAAGACATAAGTATCGATTACATCCAATCCCCCATCCTTCGCCTTCTGAATAAGATCCTCCCACATCTAAACACAGAAGCAAATGTGAGTAAAACTCTCAAACGATTGCACGACAAATTCAACAATACAAGAACTACATACTTCAGGAGTGCTTCTAGGGTAGTGAATGGAGCCAGAAATGAGAATTCGCCGCTGGCCATTGATGAGGATAGCCTTCCTATCATAAGTCACACTGCAATGTGTGGATCGAAAACCACCAAATGCAGCTATGAAAATGAAGAACAGCAACCTGGAAACCGAGAAAGCTTCCATGAGCTTGATTTTCTCTTCAACCTCCAAGCTCTGTAGAAGCTGAATCGGAATATTGATCTTTACTCCACTGGTTTATTGTAGCTACTAATTGAAATCCACAAAAAGGAGAAGATTCAATAATTGAGCTGTGAGCGTAAGCCTGAAGTGATCGTTCCACCAAATAATCAGACTAGCAATTCACAACCACACCTATGAACTGAAAATAGCTTTGGCTATCGCTATGGTGTGAATATAAATGAAAATGATGAGCAGTAGCAATGTAGCATTATCGGTTTCATCATCTCATCTGAGCCTTTTTCCAGATTAAATTTAAAAAAAACAGCTTAATTTTGTTTAATTAGATTAAGCAACTGTTAATTAAGGCAGATGCTGCCAAACAGAGCTCGGAAGGACTGTTCTTATTTAGTGGAAGATCACTGACAAATCTCACCAAATTCATTATTTAATTTATAAAGGTAAAACCATACTTAATTTAAATGATTAAATGTGGATTAACGTTTTAGTGCATAAACTTATTTTTTCTTTTAAATATTATATTTTTTATTTACCATTTTAGTTTCTAATTATTTTCATGCAAACTTATTTTAGTATTTTTGTCTTTAATGTTCATCTCATAATTCAGCCAAAAATTTAAATTAATGTTGAATGTAACATGTTACCTAATACACATGGCTACATATTATCCAAGCATGTGCCTGTCAAATAAATAGCCAAATATGTGCCAATTATTATGTTTTTATTAGATAAATGACAACAAAAATAAAAATCAATCAATCATCAGAAATTGAATTAATATTAAATTAAAGATTTAATTAAAAAAATATAAGGATGTTAATTTGGTAGTGTCACGTGCAATGGAACAAGGTTCTTCGGTTGCACGTGGTCAGTTCCCCGACCTTTCGCCTTTTCGTCCTCCGACTGTCACGCTTGTTGGATAACCCACTCCCAACTTCTAATCCAGCTGCCTTAAATTTGTTAAATTATTAACTTCCCCTTGTTTCTTTACATGCAAATTAATTACAAAGTTATGTAATTTACGTTTTGCCCCTTCAGTTTTTACATTTTACGGTTTTGGAAGCAAATGTCCTTTGTGCCTTGGTTTTATTAACTACGTGGCAAGACTGTTATGGACTGTTACGGAAAACGGTTGAATGGCAGGTAATAATAGAAAATAAATAAATAAGAAAATGACAAAAACAAAACGTAAAAGACCGCTACGAAAAAAAGGTGAAATTGACTTGTTCTAATATTATTTTGTATCTATGGTTATAAATATTCAAATTTATAAATTAAATTGGAACTTAATCACCAAAAAATTATTTTAACTTAATAATGTGATAAATTGTACTTAAGTCTACGTCATTATTATTTTTATTTGCTTCCAAAATATCATCAGTCATTGATAATTTTTAAAAATATAAATTAAATGCCACATGATTTCCTTTCCAGGAAGGACCAGCTTGGGCTGTCATCGTCCTCCAGCCTGTGATTTTCTTATTATTGTTTATTTAATGGTGATCAAAGCTTTCATTTGAAAGCAACAGCTTTTCAAAATTCAAATTTCAAGAGTTTTGATATGAGTTTATGCTTAGGAATTTAAATCCGGAAAACCCACTAAATTTAATGTTAATCGAATATTCGAAGGATTATGCACAAAACTACATGTTTGTTTGTCAAAATAACACCTATGCCAGAAGGATTGAAAATATGTAGCTTAAGCAAACTACTATGTGGCATATACGTGTGTAGAGCAATTCGAGACGAGTGTTTGAAGCAGGACTACCCCGGTGTAAAAATATATATAATTTTGAAGCAGACCAATTAATTGTAGGTTGGTGGGCATGTGGGTCATTAATATTTGGAGGCAGGATTATTGAAATTTGAACAGCGTGGAGGTGGGGTCGAACCAGGATTGAGTGAGTTTCTTCGACATTAGTTCTTTGCTTAGAGAGGAAACAAGAAATGTAGGGTGGACGCCGTTGTTGCGCCGTTTGTTTCTTCAGATGTGTTGGTGTGACTGCGAGCATCGGGAGTAAGCGAGCTTCGCTAGATTTCCGTTTCGTTTACGTCCTCGAAAATGAAGAATAAAAAATGGATTCCTTTTCATTTGGGGCAGGTTATTTTGATTCTCCGAGGAAGGCAGGTTGCCATGCCGGACGAAACTGCCACTTTGTTTCTTAGATACCAGGGTATACATGGTCTTGACTGAGATTTATTTATTTATTGTCTAATGTTAATTTTTTAAAACAAAATTTATTTATTCATGATTCATAATTATTAGATACATAATATACAAATTAATTTATAATTATTAAAAAAAAAACAAATTTATCTAAGAAAAATAGTAATCTCAACCTAACTCAACACTTTCATCCAATTAAAAGATAGATACAACCTCTTCTTAAAAATGATAGATCTAATAAAAATGATTAATTTAACCATAGTAAAAATAAAAAACAATTCTTACATCGAAATATAGTGAACTTCGAGGACCCTAAATTATCATGAAAAAAAATATTATAAATTGTGATATAATAATAGAATAGTACGGAGATAATAAATATATTAAAATTTAAAATTATGTCTATCGGTTTTATAATAAAAAATTTAAAGCCGTTAAAATTAAATTTTTTATAAATCGAATGTCCATCTATCCTAAATCATATTTTTCAAATTAAAAAACTTATGAATGATAGAGTAAACAGTGTATTTAAAAATAGTTTATTCATATTTATAATAATGGGCTTAAAAATAATATGAAAATTTGAGATTTTTTATAAGGGAAATTTAAAATATAAAAAGGAACTAAATAAATTAATATAAAAGAAACTAAAAATAATAAAGTAAATAGAAGAAACTCAACCAATAATAAAAAGATATTGGCTTGGGACGAATGTGCTCGTGGAGTAGTTTTATGATAGACGAGCTAAACTTTTAATGTATTTTATAAGTTTTATTTGGTTTGGATCAACTCGAGGTTTTTGTTCTATCCTACTAAATGCCTACAATTCAAATTGGATTAGTTAGGGTCGTGGGGTTAAACACTTAGATTACAATTTTAGGTTTTACCTTTCTTTGAATGGTCAGATTTAGTAGATATAAAATTAATTTTTTTTTCTAAAAAAATTATTAGTATTCATAAATTTGGTGAATTTAGAATAAAATTTGAACTCATGCCAGCTTCGGTGGCATTTTATTTTATTGTTGTCTTTAATTTAAAGATTTGGTAAATTTTTTTATGAAAACTCTTTTGAAAGCAAACAAGGCGTCAGGATAGATTAAAGGCCCATTTTAATGAACTAACATCCACAGACGGTCTAAATTAATCGGTATATCTTTTGAAAGCGTCGGCCATTCTTTCCCGCCACACGGCGGACCGGGGGAAGAGTTTTTCCTTATGCGACTCTATTGGCCCAACGCGGAAGTGCTTTTCAACGGAGGCCTACCGTTGTGTCCTCTGATAATCTCCCTCTCCATGGATCTTTTGTAAAGCCCAATCAGGAAGTAGGAGGAACCGAAGAAGTTGATGAGCTTATCAATGGCGTCTCGAGCACTGAATCAGAGCCTAAATCGTAGTTATGGTGTAGGGTTAATAAGAAAGAAGGTACAAGAAGATGGGGACAGCCTTGAGAGCGTGTTTAAGCTGCGAAATGGAAGGGAGGTATGATTCTTTAAGCCTTCCTTTCCTCCTCTGAACAGTACTGTTATTGTTATTCTTCTTGTTCTCTTCGACTGTAGAATCATTTAGGATACCAAGATTCTTACGCCCCATATTTCGATGATTTTCTTTCATCTATGCTTCTTCTTCCGACTGCCCTACATGATTTAGGACGTAAAATAGGATGCGTCGTACTTTTGATGTTTGGAATCTGGATAGTTTAGCTAAACAATCAGAGCATCTTTCTATTTCAGCTTCTATTGGTTGGAATCAAACTTATGCTGGAAAATCCTTTTGAGCCTTTACATTCCTAATGTTTCAATATCCGGAGCGTTCCGTTTCTAGTCTGTAATTATTAGTGAACGTATCTTAAATTTTCACATAGGACTTATATGTGTTCCAGCCAACTTTCTCATGATAAGGATATTCTGGTTATGTATGATATGCTATGTTCAGAAGGTTATTCTTTGGCTTATTTGTTTAAAGTAAGATTGAATTGAAATTCATATCCTTCGCTAGATTGGTGTTCTCCGGAAGGAATTAGAGTCCGTCTGGATGCATCGAAAACAGTACAGAAGCTGACGCTTGCTGTTCCTATACCAGTAGTTTCTTTGGTAAGCAAATTCATGTGAGCACGAACTTTCATTACTTTCTACTTTTGTGTATGTGAGGGTAGTTCTTGTTGCCAACATATTAGTGCCTTCAATGATGTTTTAGGATGGGTACACAAATTCTGGGAAGAGTACGCTCTTGAATCAGTTGGTTGCAGAGGATTGATTGTTTGCAACCACCTTTAATCCAGCTGCAAGAAGGGTTCAGGTACTTTTAGCTAGACTTAATCTTGCAGCGTTATCATGTTCATGAATCATCCTTGGCACTAGAGTAATACAATGGTATGATATTTTCCACTTTGAGCATAAGCTTTTGTGGCTTTACTTTTGGTTTTCCCAAAAGTTCTCATACCAATGGAGATGTATTTTTTACTTTAAACTTATGATCAACCCCTTAATTAACCGAGGTGGGACTCCTCTCCAAACAATCCTCAACGGGAGAAGAGATGGTTTTCCAATCCTCAAAATCATACGATTTTCTTCTTTTTAAATCTCCTAGAAGATAGACCTTAATAAATTGGTTGAGAGAAACTTGGCTCGTCTTTGAAAGAGTGTCCATAGACTAGTTAAAGAAGTCCGCACGTATTTAGGAGTCCACAATGAGAATTTGAAGGTTCAAAGAAGATTCTTCTAGAGAATTTAAGCAGAAGTGCATTGAGCAGATTAATTGCTCGCTGTATTTGCCGGCCGTCTGACTAAAGAATACACCAATGAGAGTAAATTAGGTGCTGGACTTTTTCTGAATTTATTGAAGGTGTTAATGTTCATATTCAGCAAATGCTGTTTACTTCTAATCAACATATTAGGTGTTGTTTCCTGATATTGTGATTGATATGTCACATTTACATGATCTATGAAATAATGGTGCCTTTTTTTACTATAAAATAATCTTCTGCCTGGCTTTTCTTTTAGACCAACTTGTGATCCTCCTGGAAGTACTGTGGTTTTTAATTCATTTTGTTCACTTTATATGCTTGTTTCACACTCTCCAGATGAAAAATGGAAACGAGTTTCTACTTGCCGACACTGTTGGTTTCATCCAAAAGTTACCAACTATGCTGGTGAGATTTGCAGCCCCAAGATAAACATCATATTCATCTATCATTTTGTTTTGAATGTGTGTAACAACTCAAGCCCACTTCTAGCAAATATTGTCTGCTTTGGATCGTTACGTATTACCGTCAGTCTCATGGTTTTCAAAACGCGTCTACTAGGAGGTTTCCACACCCTTATAAGGAATGATTCGTTCCTCTCTCTCTTCAACCGATGTGAGATCTCACAATCCACCCCCTTTGGGGCCCAACATCTTCGCTGGCACACCGCATGGTGTCTGACTTTGATACCATTTGTAACAACTCAAACCCACCGCTAGCAAATATTGTCCGTTTTGGGCCGTACGTATCGCCTTCAGTCTTACGATTTTTAGAACGCGTCTACTAGAGAGATTTTCACACCTTTATAAAAAATGTTTCATTCCCCTCTCTAACCGATACGAGATCTCACAATCTGCCAGTACCATAAAATCTCTCATTTTTTTCATTTGTCTTTCTGAAGAGTGTAGTAGTAATCAAATCCCCAGATAGCTGTATTGTTATTCTGGTTAAGTCCTACAGGTTGCTGCATTCAGAGCAACATTAGAGGAGATATCAGAATTATTATTGCTGGTTCAACTGGTGGACCTCGGGTGACTGGTTAGTCAATTGATGTTTCTCATCACCTTAACCTATTTTCTGATTGGATATTTCATCAATTTCAGCCATCCGCTGGCTGATCAACAGATAGAGGCTGTGGATAAAGTTCTTTTAGAATGGGATGTGTCGTCGATTCCGAGGTTGATGGTTTGGAACAAGGTGGGGGGGAAATCTTATGGAATACGATCCTTTACCCACCCCTCACCACAAGGAAAATAAAAGGAAAGAGAGAAGACTACTTGAGATTTTTATCTGTGCTTATTATAGATTTCTTTGTCCTTTTTGTCATTGGCTATGCTTGTATGGATTTGCTTTACTGGAATCTCTTTATAGTTTATTCTCTCTCTTTTATTCTTCAGAAGATAGATGGGACAATAAACAGTTCTTTTTAAAAAAAAAATAAAATTCTCTCAAGTATGTTAAACTAAAAACGGTTTTTCAAATGGGTTTCTGTTTTTCTCGTAGCCTAATCTTTTAGCTAATGTTATTCTCTGCCTTTATAGCCATTATGTGGAATAGAGAAAGAGAGATATTGGGAGAGGTTTGGTCCTCAGTTAGGTTCTATACCTCTCTTTGGTGTTGGTGTCTAAAGAGTTTTGTATTTATCCTTAGTTTCTTATTCTTAACGGACTGATGGAGCCCCTTCTTGTAGTTTTGTTTGGCATTGTCCCCTTTTGGTTTCATTTGCTCCATGGAAGTTTGGTGTCTAATTCTAAAGAAAATCCTGTAGCTTATGTAAAGGATCCTTGTTTGTAATTCTATGGACAAATTCAAGTTTCTTCTCTAATTCCTATGTGCGTCTAACTACAAATTGTCAAACGGCAGGTTGACAAGGTTAGTGATCCTCAAAATATTAGAGGGGATGTTACGTGTGTACATGTGAGATCCCACGTAACATTCCTTATAAAGGTGTGAAAACCTCTCCTTAGTAGACGTGTTTCAAAACTGTGAAGCTGATAGCGATACGTGATAGGTCAAAGCGGATAATCTCTGCACCGAGTGATGATGGTTTGGACGAATTCTGCTATGCAGTTCAGGGAAAATTGAAGGTGTATTTACTTTGTAGTCTTGAAGATGGTTGTTTCTTCTCTATTCTTTGTTAGCAGCAGGTGGCACTGCTTTTAACCTAAATATGAAGACAAGAAATGAAATAATTGTTTTGAATGGGCAGGACTCAGTGGTTTGGGTAGAAGCCTTGATTCAGTTTGACAGAGGCGAGTTCTTGAGCACTGTGTATCAGGTTGGAGTGGTAGAGAAAACTGTAAGTAAATCCTCCATCCTTTCTGATTTCCATTTAGTTTTCTTGTTATGCACAGTTGGAAGATTTTTAAATATCTTGAGAGTGCATTTGGTTGAAGCAATTTGTTAGTGTATTTAAAAAAATGGTGGTAGGAAGAGTAGCCTATTTAAAAAATGTGTCAACAAATTGACATCTACTCTTTTTCTTTTTCTTGAGGTCGGCTGTAGGAAGAGCCGCTCATAAAGTTCGACACTGTCCTAGATGGTAAGAAATGAAAAATAATGATGTTGGATGACCCATCCTGTAACAGTTCAAGCCCACCGCTAGTAAATATTGTCTGTTTTAGCCTGTTACATATCGTTGTTGGCCTCATGGTTTTAAAACGTGTTTATTAGGGAGAAGTTTTCATACCCTAAGAAATGTTTCGTTTCACTCTCAAACTAATGTGGTATATCTCATAACTTAAAAAAGAGATTATAGAAATCATCACCAAAGGCAGCTATTTTGTAAGTATAACAGATTGTAAACAGAGATGCCAAGCAAATAGTGCCATGGCTTCATTCAGAGGCCCAGCCTAATGGGATTATGGGAAAAAAAAAAAACTTTACACTACAAATTATTTGGTACTTGGTCAGATTTTTCTGGTAGGTACATATCTTTTGGGTCACGCATCATTATCAGGTGTCGTTGTCCTGAAGTCACCAGTAAAAAAATGGATTGGGTCGGCGATCTACCCTATGCAGGGCCAGAATCTGAGCCATAATTAGAACATTTATATATAGAAACCATTGGGGGGTTGAGTAAATTTTTGGGTTCAACCAATATTTTTGAAGTCATTGTATGGCTCACCATCTCTTTCTCTCTCTCTCATGGCCTAATGAGCCCTCTTTTTGCCGAATAAAGCCATTCATTTATAATGCAAGACTCCACTAAGCTCATAAGGAGTAAAATGACAGAATATGTTACAAATTTCGGAAAGATATTAAACCTCAATCAATACATACTATATGTTAATAGGTTACTTCTTTAGTTGCAAGTTTTGGCATATAAGTTGGTGACATTTCTATCTTTAACTGCAGGCTACACAAATTAGTGGATCCTAATAAAAATTTCTATTTTAAAAAATGGAGACGTACAACTCTGGGTAGATTTCTACGGATCTTATAAGATTTCACATTGGGAATTGGTTAACGTAATGGACTAGAACAGACAATATCGATTAGCAGTAGGCTTGAGACGTTACAAGTAGTATTAGAGCCCGCCACTAGGCGATATGTCAGTGAGGATGGGGTGGATTGTGAGATTTCACAAAACTAGATCTCTAAGAAAGATGATAATATCGACTAGCGATCAGTTTAGACTTTAGATATGATTGTTTATCTGTTTATCCTTTCATTTTTCATTTATTGGTGTTTCATTACAATTGACAGCGATCTCAGTAAAAACGTTTACTTCATTAATTCTAAGATGAATTATTATTTCTTGATTTCATCAAATCTACTTGCAATACTTCTGGTTAATTATAATTATTATTGTACTATTATTTCAATAATCTACCATCAACGAATGATGCTATACCATAAAAAAAGAAGATTGATTTGATTTGATGTGAATAAAATAAATATTAAGAGGGAGACACACACAAATTAATGTTTGTGGTAATGAGCAGTGATGGTCATAGAAGAACGTGGAAATATGCGAATCAGATAGGACAAACCTTAATGTTTCAAATATTTATTTAAGGTTTTGTTTGTGTTTGGTTACTGCTGCCATGTGAGACGTAAGGGTAGTTCATGGATTTCCCATTATTATACTCTTACTTAATAGTGCTTTTGCTTTATGTAGAGTGTACTTTAATCCCATTATTATTATTTTTAATATTATTAACGGCGTTTGTGAGAACTCACATCAATATAAGAAGATAAGAAAATAGTTTTATAAATGTGAAGAAGATAAGAAAATAGTTTTATAAATGTGTGAAAATCTCTCTAGATGCCTTTTAAATTCGGGATGGAAAACCCATAAGAAAAAACTAAAAAAAGACAATATCTATTAGCGGTGAGCTTAGGTTGTTACAAATGATATTAAAACCAAGGCACCTAACGGATGCGTTTTAAAAATTGTGAGCCTGACGGCTATAAATAACGGGTCAAAGTAGACTACATCTATAAACTTTTTCCATTTTATTATATAAAAAATAATCATAAAATAATTTGTTTGCCCTAAAATAGAATCAAAAGATCCGGTTGCTAGTAAAAAAAATTATAACGTCTTTTCTATCTTCCACTTATCTATAGAGATTTTATTAATTGAAGTATAGTTCAAAGTTTAGAAATTGACTACAAAGTTAGAAGTTCGTGTATTTTCATTCGTTGTTGTTGAACTAAAAAAAATTTAATAGGATTTTGTTCGTTCTCTTGCCAACTCATGCTAATTTTTTCTCTACTATGTTAAGATACTGTTTATATCAATTCCTGTTCTTAAAAACATAATATCTATATCAAAATAAATTATCTTTACAAGAGACGGTTAATTTATCTCAAATAGTAATATTACTTTTAAATCAATCAACTCAACCATATAAGAAACAAATAGTGCACTACATCTATAAATAAAAATAATTTTTTTATTAATTCCCTAGTGAAAACCCCTTTTTCTCGAGTTCTCCGAATGAAAACCTCAAGTCCAAATACATGGAACCATTGCAATATTTAATGTATTTGTCTAGTGTACATATTTGAGTATAATCAAATATTATAAAAGTAGATGTCTTTATAAATTCTTCTGACTTGTTTTTTAAAATTAATATATATATATATTATAATTTTATAAGTATTGGTTATGATAAGAGTATTTGCGAATAAAGCGACTGACCGAAAGACACAAAGCTTCGTTCTCTTATCTTCATCTTATTATTTTAATCATGTCTTAATTAAGATTATGTGAAGTGGCAAATCTCCCTAATTAAATCAAACCATTTAAAATATTATAAAATTGAAAAGAAATTATAGGAATAAAATAATACTATTTTCCATGCCGTAAGGAAAAGGAGAGAAAAAGAAAAGAAAAAGGAAATATTTATTATATTATATGATGAATATTATAATAACAGAGGAGGAGGAGGAGGAGGGGGGCCTTCAAATGCATCAAAAGCCCCATTACATCATACTGAAAACGACCCATTCCCCAATGGAAACAAAATCCAAGAAACCAGTTTACACTTTTTTTGGTTGCTTTTCCCCAACTTTCAAAATCTGTTCTTCAATCATATTGATTTTCTTCCACCAGCGTCACGATCGTATTAATGGCAAAACTAATATATATATATATAAATATATTACAATTTTAATTCCTGATTAACCGATCCAATCCCATCCACCAACACACAGCGCAAACGAGATTAGATTAGGATTAAACTAAAACCCTTCTCTAAATCAATGATGAGTTCAGCAGTGAAGCACGTGATGATCAGCAGAAGCCACAATGGGGGGTTGCTGGCTTAGAAATGAGTTGAGGAATGATGGGTTATGATCAAAATCAAAATCAAAATCAAAATCAAAATCATAATGATAATCATAATCATCAAAGTTTTGAAGAAAAATATGTGGTTCTTCATCTTTGTCGTCGTTGTTGTTGTTGATGTGAGATAAGATCCGGTTTAGGGAGTCTAATCTATGAGTAAGTTCCAGAATCTGAGCTCTCAAAACAGAGTTTTCAGCTTCAACGTTGAGAAAAAGATGGGTTGTGAGATTAATTCTGGAAATCATTTGGTTTTTATTTTCCCTCAATTGGCCCACCTGCGCCATCAGCCCGTCCAAGTGCTGCTGTTTCCTCATCCTCGAACGCCGCGCCGATTCCCGGTTCGATTGCATTCTCCTTCTTTTTCTCTGGTCCATCAATTGCCTCAGCTCCTCTTCCGAACCAGAGCTCTGGTTCTGAACCCCAATCTGAGATAACGAACCTGAAGAATTCCCACTACAACACCCCATAATATAAATAACTATTATATATATATATATATATATATAGAGAGAGAGAGAGAGAGAGAGAGAGAGGGGGGGGGTGTTCTATATTTACAGTTGATAGACCCAGAAGCGAAATTCAGGGAGATTTTGATTTTTTTTTTTTTTTTTGAG